CCACACATATGAGGCTTCAAGACCACTCCAAAACCCGAATTATGTTGAGGTGGCCACGAGTGAGAAACGAAGGCCGAATTGTGCTGATGATGCTGGCCCAAAAAACATGCCAAAAACCTTCCGTAGCGTGGGGGGAAGCCTCAAAAGCACGTCCAAAAATCATCATAATTTTTGACCCCCAAAAACACGCCTCCAGGGCTTTCCAACGGAGGGTGTCGGCGGAACGGGCCGCGCCCCCATAAGCATAGCTTAGCTAGGCGTGCATCCGCACTGGACAACGACGGCCAGGCCGGACTTAAGAGCCTCCGGCTCAGTCCGCCGACCCCAGAGGCGGAGAAGGGACGGACGCGGCGTATCAAAGCGANNGACGCAAACGGACCACGCCACGCGGAAGCGGAGCGTCGCAAAGTGGCATGAGCGGTTGTGACCGCTTTTGGTCAGAACCAGGAGTGAAGGAAGGCCGGCCTTCTTTCATTCTGCTTTTGGCCGCCAGAACCAGGCTTGAAAAAACAGGCCAGGCTGCTTTTACATGCTGTTAACCTACGTGGATGACCACCGCTGATGATAATGTTGGGCTGGGCCATGGCTTGCCCCTCACCACGTGTTGGGACCGGGGCCCCCAGGGGCTTGGGGCCTGGGCTTCCAGGACGCCCCACAAACATACCAAAACTTCAAAAGTTTCTGGACTGAACCAGGGGTGAAGGAAAGCTGAGCTTCTTTCGCCCCGCTTCTGGCCATCAGAACCAGGGGTGAAGGAAGGCCCGCTTTTGGCCGCTTTTGGCCACCAGGCATGAAGGGGCTTCTCTCACCCTGCGTTTGGGGTCCTGTTTCCGGGCTTAAGGGCGTCTACTGAAACCATCCAACACGCCCCCCAGATTCGGCGGATGTCCTTTGAGTCTCCCTATAGTTGTCCTCCAAGCAAAAGGACCTTGACGCTCAACCCTAAACTCCTAAACCCTAAACCCTAAACCCAAACCCATAAACCACTAAACTCAACACCCCTGATCCCTAAACCCCTAAATCCAAA